CAAGCTACCTCGTATAACATTATTGTATTCCGTACTATGGAACTCCGTCTACAGAACAATTTGTACGTATACCTGAAAAGGGTATCTATGCGGGAAAAATAAAGAACGTAATTTTGATTTGTTGTTGTTGTTGTTGTTGTTGCTGTGTTGGAGTGTACTGGCTATCCCCTATCCGTCTGTGTGGTCATAGGCTTCTTAAATTTCAACATTTCTTAGTGAAAATAAGGTTCCTTTTTCTTGGTGCCTAATACTGTGTATTTCTTTGAAAAAATGAGAAAGCTAACTTGCCCGTAATCTAAGTCTCCATTCTTCATGTTCTTAGGTGTCTTCCAGCGATAATTAAAATTTTGAATAGTAGGAGATCAATTTTTTTCTTTTTTTGCTAGTAAAACTCCTGACCACACGAAAGACAGTTAAGCCGTTATTTACCTAACAGGCGCGCGCACAGCCCATGCTAACAAAACATTTTCCTCTTTGTTAGCATGGCATAATGGTCCTTGCGGAACCGGAAGATCTAACCCTACGCAAGACCAAACTGCTTTCTGATACCAAAAACATGCGCTAGATTCACTTGCGTTAATACACGGCAATCCTGACCATAGACAGCAATGGTTTACTGTGGAGATTGTGCAGAATGTTCATAGGTCGACATAAGGTTTTCACATGAGATCTTTCATTTTCCCACGTTCCGATGGTTTGAGATTATTCTCCCTGTTGGTATGTCAATGAATGTGATATTTATGTCTACTGTTCTAGTTGAAGGGGAAAATGAAAGATTCAACGTTAGCGACTTAACTCGACTTGAATGAAAACAACAGCTTACCATGGGGTATTGAAACTACCAGCCACATAACAACCTTATCACACTCCCACAAAACACCCCACAAAGAAAGTCACACGGCTATTTGTGAAATCCATCTTTTTGAAGGAAATGAAATTTTAAAACCTAGACCCACTTTGAAAGTGAAAATTTCGCAAACTGGAAGTTATGTCGTTTAAGAGTAGAAGTTGACCGAAGATCATCGTAAAAATACTGAAAAAATTCTGAGAGTCGTGACCGGAACTCTGGTTCACTGCACTAGATTTTAATTCAGGGTGACCCCCTGTCGTTTAGTATGTCTTTTTCGGTGCACGAAATTGCTTTGTTTTGGCTCAAACGAAAGAAAAAAAGTAGACTTTGGTAGACACAATAAAATGTTCGTTCGGATTTTTTTTTAATATTATTATTTCTAGTATATCAACGCTCAAGTCCTTTCGGATTACCAGTCAATCACCACGTTTCTGTCTTCCGGTTTTCATACCGGAAGTGAGAATTCATTACCCACAAATCTCGACGCGAGCATCTGGCTCTGGAAAACAAAAAACACTCAGAGTTCAAGCAACAGCTCGGAAGCTGTGTCGTCGAACTTCGAGAATATCTGCGAAATTCATGTGCTCTAACCATACCGTTCATCCAAACTATAATCATACACACGCCAGAGTTAATTCTAGGAGCAGATTTGAGGTAAGTGTGCGAATTTTCGGCCAAAACTTAGGTAAATTCGGCAATGGTGAGCGACTATTCAAACAAGAGTCTTTCCGTCTCTCGGTGCTAAAGAAATTCATTTAAATGTTTGTCTGAAGCATAAGCTTAATATCAGTTTACCATTTCGTCTCTTATTTTATAGATTGTTATATGTTTATCATTTTACTCTATGCTTTTCATTTTCCCTTCGTAAAACAAGTTTCTTGTCTCAAGCATTTCCTGTCTTCTTCGCTCTCAAGAAAGCTCGATTGTTTTGCCATTTAATGTTTTGTTTTGCCCTGTTTTGTTTTGTGGACAAGGCTGTCGCTTCGGATGCAATTTAAGAGGTAAAAATATTTATCGAAACATTCTTGCTAGGATGTGCGATGAGTGTTGTGCCCCCTAGCTTTCACGATGCCATGATATTATTACGGTGCGATTAGCTGGCTGGAAACTTTACACTGTTCTGTTATGATGTGCGCAGCTTGCAATAAGAAATTCTCGTTGATCTAAAAACTTGCGGCTTTAGACTCAGAATGAAAACATATTATGGAATTTCCACTTCCTTCATTGGACGGATTTGTATCTCCAAATAATATTGGGCAATTTGTCTAGTTAGCGGTGTGTTTGCAGTTTTTTACCGATCAGTGCTCGAGCATAATTTCGCACATTCCCGCTCCGATCGAAGGCGATGTTCTTGCTTCATTAATTGAGAAAAGCGCGAATATAATTTCTAACTAATTTTAAAAACCGAAAAACTGCTCTTTTGGAGTAAAGGTTGGGAACTACGTTTTCGCATCTAACAGAAAGGGATTTCGTTTACACGGTTGAATGAAATTTAACTTACGTAAGCTTAAAAGTGAAAAAATCTCTCCATTCACTGCTATGCAAAGACTTTGCACGTAGGCTTTAGCTAAGCTTGAGCTTATTTTCAGCGCTAGATTTCATATACGTCTCGACTTGTTTCTTTGAAAAATGAGTGTTGCTTTCCTTAGGAATGTCGGGATTTTTTCTCCCGAACTGATAAATCATATAGAAAGCTTAGTTACAAGCGATCGATATGTTGGGCTCCAATAATTGCTCTTGTAAACTGCATTTAAGCGGTCTTTATTATGAAGCGCAAGCTGTCATTGAAAATTCTCAAAATTTATGTCGGCATGTCTTGACTTCTGCGAGAAAAATAACCTATTAACATGTCGAATTTTATTTCAATTCCAGCTTTATAATTTTAACACCAATGAGGATCAAGCGTTAATAAACAAGAAACTTCCTAAGGAACTTATTTTAAGGTAAGTTGACTTTGTTGTTTTTTGCTCTGGCATATGCAAACATTATGCATACTAAATACTTTCACCATACCCAAGAGAATTTCGATACGCTTATTTAGTTCCCAGCACAGCTGACCGAAATGGTTCCCTTTAATAGATAATTTGCATTGTTTAATATGCATTGATATATGCCTTGCAGATAAAGAGTTAAATTTGTGGCAGCATTTCCTGTCGACTGAAAGCAATGTTAATAATTCACTACAATTTAAAATTTTGCCTGCTCTAAATAGTTTGTGATTTCCAGTCAAATTGACACATTTCAGGAGCCTTTAAGTATGTATTTCTAATAACACTATCACTTATATGCACCTGACAAAAGCATGTAAAAGTTACATTAATTTGAATTTTTTGTTATACCTGTATGAATATTATATAATGTTATATTCTATTATAGCAGAATGTTTAACAATAAATTGTTTCATTATTCACTGATTTAAAAAAAAAAGATTAACGCTACTGTGCCTGTTTACCAACACTGAAAATGAATTACAGTGCAGCCTGCAGGTATATTTATTCTGTATGATTTTTTTGCTAATACAAAACATTGTTTTTTCACTTTGGTGTTACTCAAGACAACAATACTACTGTGACAGCAGCCTGTCACAAACATCACTTTTTATGTTAATATTCAGCCAGTAAATAGCGATTGTTGTAGGCTTTCTGGACCACTTAAAACCGTAGTTAAAATGTGAATGTCACATGAGAAATCAAGCTGTACATAATTTGTACCACTTCACAGTGCAGATGTTTACAAATAAGTAGCAGTGAAATTTGTTTGTGCACCCAGGCCCAGCTAACCCATACTGGCAGTCTAGATGATCCCAGTTTCTGTAGTATAAAGCAGTTATGTACTGTAAAAGTATTATTCCTTTTCTGGATGGCATTAGCCAAAACAGTTCACCAGTTAATTAATTAAGCAATGTGGAGTGTCTCGTTTAACCACAAGGTCACAATATGTATGCACCCATTTGTTTAGAAATACACAATGTAGTTGTAGCTAACCAAAGCTTGAAAAAAAAAAAAAAAAAACACTGCACTTGAACCAGGTAGTTTTATATGTTTAATGTATTATATATGACATTATTTAATAGGTAAACTACTTCTCTTTCCCTAGGATTTTTTCATTTCTAGATGTAGTTTCTCTGTGCCGTTGTGCGCAGGTTTCCAAGGTAAGCAGCTGTATGTGCAAATGTGACGTCATTTACAGCAAGTGTAATTGAAAAACAAAATGGACTTATAAGAACTGAAACCAAAAACATGTTTACAGAAGAACAGGCACTATGTGTGGCAAAATGTGAGGAACCCTGTTATATCTAACACACAAACATGTATTGGCCTTGGTTTTGCCTTTGCCTTAAACCAGTGAGAGAAGTTAGTCAATTTAGCAAAACCAGTGCAATTTTTGGTGATTGAATTTACCCTAAATTTTATTTCTTTTAGCTTTGGAATGTGTTAGCTCTAGATGGAAGCAACTGGCAAAGGGTGGATTTGTTTGATTTTCAAACTGACATAGAGGTATGTCCAGTTCACATTTATATGATACAATGAACATGTACAGTACTGTGGGTCAAATATTATTCTTACCTTTTGACTGGTTCTTATTATGGTCAGGAATGTTTGAGACATACTACTTGTGACTTAAAAAGACTGCTTTCTTATTCAGCCACATACAGTGTATATATGTCAACAACAAGCTACAGGGGTAGGTACATGTGTGCATTTTCATGGAACATCTGCACAATCTCACCTGGACTTGGATCTCTTTAGGCCACAGTAGTATGATCTCTGAAATGGTATACTGTATATGCACTTACTCTTTCATTGTAATATAACAAAAAACTTTTGGCTTGCATTCTCATCTTAGATTAGTAAACAGAACATATCTATGGAGACGTTAACACTAATTAATATTCTGTTTGGCGTATTTAATGACAATGAAGATTTTGCTATTTTGAATCACTTAATACTCAGTGCTAAATATTTTATTTATACATGTAAACTGAACAAAACTAAACCAACATTAAGAATTTTCTTTGAAAAGATCAAATTAGTTCATCATATAGAGAGAAAAATTGCCAAAAGAAATGACAGG